AGTTTAGTTTAGTTTAGTTTAGTTTTATTAGGATCCCCATTAGCTGCCAAATAAATTGCCACTAATCTTCCTGGGGTCTTTTTTCCAGTGGTTTTGTGTCTCAAGGTTTGCAAAAATCATGTCACTACCATTCACTTAGAAGGTTTAATCAGATTATTGGTCAGATAAGCCTTGAAGTAAATGAAACTGATGCTCAAACCCAGTATAAGTTATGAGTGTTATAGAGGTCACTGCAGCAGGAAATATTTTTAAAAGTATGAAATGTATTTGAGATGCTTAGAGAGTTGTATAGGATTTATGATTCTTGGAAAAGATGTGCAGCCTTTGTTTGTTGTTTTGTTTACACATCCAAGAGTTCAGTGCATACCTGGGAAGGTATGCATTCACACCATAAACAAACCTATCCATAGTTTCTTTGGAACAAAACATAACCACCTCTTTAAAAAGTTCTGGAAAGGATGTTCTTACATCTTATCAAACCCCACCAAGGAGGACAATGAGCCAGCTTGTTTTAGAACCACTAAACAACAGAGGTGTAAAAACACTCTAGGTCTAGGTAGAATGTCTGCTGGAGACAAAATATAAAATTGAAAATGCATTTAAGAATTTTCATTATTAAAAACTTAAACAATTAGTGGTTGGCTGTCAGTTTTTCTAGGATGCTGAAGTAGCCTACTGCCAATCGGAAAACAGAAAAAGAGAGAAATCAAGTACTAAAACTTTAGAGATGGAATAACATGAAAACTGTAAAGGCAAACAAGGTAATTTCAAAGGGATTCTTCAAAAGAAAACTGGTGAGGTAAAACTGTGAAGAACTGCACAAACTATTTTTTTAAATCTTTTTACCAGCTTTTATTGTCATTACACTGTCACAAGCACAGTGCAACAAAATAAACCCATTTAACCCATCCCCTTGGGGAGCAATTGGCATATGGGGAGCAGTGTGGGGTTAAGGGTCTTGCTCAGGGACCCAGAGTGGCAATCTGTGGGAGTGGAGCTTGAATTCAAAACCTCAGGACCAGTAGGCCGCCACTCCCCAAAGCAGGCATCAGCGTGAAGGGTCTTGCCTAAGGGCCCATGCTGGCAGCTCATTCCCTCCAGCTGGGATACAAACCCAGGCTTCCCGTCTGCAGGACGGGTGACTTAGCACTTCACATACAGTAGCCAGCTACTAGTAAATATGTGTATTTCCCCCATAATTTGAGTAGGTATATAAGAGGATGTACCAATGGAATTAGTATATTTACCCTTATATACCCTTATATAGAATAAGATAATTAGATATTATGCACTTAAAATATGAAACCACAGTGCAGGAATGCTGAATCATTTATATCAAATGGTTCTTTAACAACATTGTAGTTATTTTTAAAACAAATGTATGTAGCTGTGCTGGGGCAGTAACCTATAAAAGCCATATGTGGTTCACAGGTGGTCTCAGACTGCACTGATAGAATGTACTGCTAGAAATCTTATTCAGTCTCCCTTGATGGTGCTAGTCAAAACATAATCAGTGCCAGGATTTACCCTGTGTCACTCCCTCCTTCGGTAAGCTGTCTACACCACCAGCCCATGGTCTTGCACCGAAGGGTGCTAGCCAGCCTCACCTTTAATTAGCTTCATCCCTTCTGATAAGGCTAGTAATTGTGACGTGTCTTGGCAAGAAACAAAGCCGGATTTGCTGGTGGGGAAGATGAGAACAAGAGAGTGGGAGAAGTAATACAAGCCAATAATGTTAAGGGGAATGTTGAAACCTTTTTTTGGTTGATATTTAAGAATATTTCTGCACACTTAATTGTTACTGTTACTCAATTTTAATCTTTATTGCACTAGGAGACTCTCAAATGGAGACTGTTAGGGTTGTTTATGATAAGTACCTATATATTAATTCATTTATTCTATCCCTAGGCAAGAAACTCCTCTAGTTCCTACTCAAGCTCCTTGAGAGAACTCCTCCAGCGAAAGATCAATGCTTTAGAAGAGCAGTTACACAAATACTACAGAGATCACCATGACAGCCACAACTCTGATCACCATGATGACTCACACGATGAAAAGCACAGCAGCAGCCACCATGATGACCATCGCTCTAGTCATCATGGTGGCCATCACGATGATAATCATGAAAACCACCATGGCACACCTCACCATGAAGACCATCAAACCAGCCACTATGGTGGCCATAGGTACAACCATCAAGGCAATCATTATAATCGACATTATGAACCCAACTACAACTGGCACTATGGTCGTCACAATAGCCATCATGAAGTCCATCACAGCAGCCACCACAATGACCATCATAAGGACCACCGTGATGACCATCATGGAATGGGTCATTATGATGACCACCATGATGGCCACCACCCTGAGACTGAGGACCATGAGCCCCATGAAGGGGAGCATCCTCCGAGACGCCTTCCTTACACTAGTAAGGAAACAAGCCTGCGGGGCTCTGGACACAGCAAGTTAGAAACAGTTCTCAGCCACCTTCATCCCAGCAATGACCATGGTAAACACACATTTCAAATGTATCTATTACATATCAGTCAAATACTATTGGAGGTTAGGTAGTTTGATAATTTACCAAAATCACAAATATAGGCTAATCAAATGTTATGCAGTTATTTTTAATTACATATTTTACAAAGAGTTTCATCATTATACCAAATTTCAGTTGATAATACTTTTGATTGCCATTAAAGATACTCCTTTTGGTTAAAATATCAAATCTCCTGATTAATTCAGAATGAACTGTACATTTGCAGATTATGTTATTTAAAGGACTCTTTGGAACTATAGCAGTATTGAAAGAACAAAACAGCTGAATACTTCTACATCATCTCTACCTTCTAATGTCTCAATCCTGAACTGCCATCTGTACATGTTCTTCAAGGGTTCTCAGTCCTATGTAGGTACCAGTTTGAAAAGGAGAGGCTCATCAGCAATCTCCTATTTGACAATGACGAATATGTTTTTTTTTTCCAATAGAAATTTATGGGCTTGGTGTGACCTTTTGTACAATTGGAATTAATTAACCCTTTTTCTTTCAATTTGACCAGGAATCCACAAGAAGCTTAAAAGTCCAAATGCTTTCTTGCTTGAGTTTCCTATGAGGACAAACTACATGTATGCCAGGATGAAGCGGTCAGTGGTCAACGAGATCTTTGCCTTGACCATCTGTCTATGGCTAAAGCCAGGTGAAGGTCCTGGCCTTGGAACGCCTATTTCCTATGCTGTGCCAGGGCAGGCCAATGAGCTGGTGCTAATGGAATGGGGCAGCAACCCCATGGAGCTGCTTATTAATGACAAGGTAAAAACAATGTAATATGGCCTCATATATTGAAACATTTACTGTCCTGTACAGAAGAAAGTGTAGCCAGAGCCTGTGTGGTTTGATAACAAGAAACATTAAAAGACAAGCTTAAAGCCTGTCAGGCTTTACTTTAAATAAGTACTTTCATTATTTGACAAAATCACCATGCTAAAAAATATTTTTTTCAAAATGTGCCTAAAAACATGACCAGCTTAAGAGAGTGCCCACCAGCAAGAGCTTCATATAGATAATTTCCTATATCTGCAAGTCTTTAACAGCATGACCTAAAACTTAGTTAACAGTCTTTTACCATCTAAACTAGGGGTGTCAAACTTATTTTTACAGCAGGCCACTCTCAGCATTATCGAGCCTTTAAAGGGGCCAGTTTAACTGTATTAATGAAACCTTGGTTTTCATTGATTTCTTTAAAAATAGACTTTACTTTTTTATCAGTCTTAACCCCTTTCTACACTTCAGAGCATATGCCTTTTTTTTTTTTTTAGAAATGACCCATACAGGGTTTTTTTTAAGGCAGATGCTGATACCAGTTATTTTGACAGTTGTCTAACCAATCACTGAAAAATGCAACCAATATTTATGGGTCGATGCTGGAAGCAGATATTTCTTTTTTTCCGCCTTTTATATGAAAAAAGTAATACATTGATAAAAAAAAAAGTTACACCAGTCTTAATTTTAATAAAAAATAAGTATAAAAAAATCAAACCAAACAACCGTAGCTAGCAAATAGAGGGACGGCAAATACATGCACTTCATGTGATCTTAAGAGTGGCTTAGTCTTTTGGGCATTGATGGGAGGATGATTTGCCATGAGGAGCTGGATTTGGTCCACTTGCCTTAAGTTTGACACTTGATTAAACCGATAAAAGTGATTAACTTCATGTACTAAAAAACGTATATATATATAAATGTTGCAACAATTCCTGTTGTTGTGATTCATATACATGAAGGTCCCAATTATTAAACAGGCTCACATATGTTTAAATTGGGGCTAAAATGTTGCATAGGTGCTGACTGACATATACAGTACCATGTGTCCTTATATGTAGGTAATTGGAATGTAATGGTTTGTAAAAAAATTAGGATTAATTAAATGCTACACACATCACCTAAATTCAACAACATTTAAAACATATTTAGTCGCTCAACCCCTATATTTAAACCACTATGCTTAAACGTTATGCTTAGAAAGCTCCATAATGTTGGCTAAAAATGTATATGAACATAAACATTTTCTGTTGCACAGACACATTTTAAGTTAGATTGAATTAACTTAAAATATTTTTGATGAAATATTCAAACACTAATATGGATTTATTTTTGAGGCAAGCAGGCACATATGTGTTCTTTGATTATTTTTTTCCAATATGGAACACTTCCTATTTTCTTCTTTTTTTTTTCTGCACACTGTAAGTTGTGCATCACTTGATCTGATTGAAGCTAACCAACAAACAAACCTGCCAGGACTCTGTTGTTTAACTAATCCTCTAATCTTTTTTTCTCTGAAAAGCTGATGACTTTTTTCCCTTTAAATGGAAGGCAGATGGTTGACCATGGCTCTTCCTTACCCCAGTAATGTGTGAAGTGATCTCACCAGATAAATCACCAAAAGCAATTAATCCTGTTATAGTCTTGTACTGACTGACCCAGTTGTCTGTGAGAGACACCAGGAAGATAAAGGTATCATGTTTGTTGTCTAGGACTTACATGCAGAGTAATGATGCAAGTAATTAATGACCCACTTAAAACCATGGGGCATAGATACTGAACATATATCTAGGCCAAGATGTCAAAAGTGTTTTAGTTCTTTACGTAAGTAAAAGTAGAGATACCTGTGTCAAAAAAATACCCTGGTAAAAGTAAAAGTACTGAATGAACGTCTTACCAAAATAAGTACCGATTATACTTTTATATACAAAAATAAAGTTTTTGCCTTAAAAGATACAAGATAACTAAAAAAATGCATCTTTACTAAAAAAAAAATAGGTAAATTTTCCTATTTTGCTGTTGATTGAAAGAACACAAAATATGACTCAGCCTGTTTTTTATTTTTTATCAAAATCTCAAACAGGATAATATAGCCTAAACCAAACAGAAGTCCTTAATACTTTTAGAGCTTTTATATTTACCTTATTTAAGTTGAAAAATAAAATTAGAAATTAAAATATAACCAGAAACAGGATCAACATGTCAATTTCAAATCTAACAAAGGTGGAGAGTATGCCTTGCGTTTCATAATCTGATCCATCATCTGCATTGTTTCTCAGTCCCCTGTCTCTGTTCATGTTTCTGTCAGAGTCTTTCTATCAACAAACTGGGCTCTTACTGGAAGGTTATCTTCATACTTTTGTTCTCCCCCCTGTTTTGTTGGAGCTGTTACGTTATTATTGATACTGTATGAATAAAAGTAGTAAAGAAGTAGGAGTAAGGAGTAGAAGAACATATATTTGTATTCAAATGTAGGCTGTAAAAGCCTACATTTGATTATTCAAATAATATATAGCTACTGAAAAAGTAAAGTAACTATTTGTAGTTAATAACTCAGCTTTTCTGCATATAGAAGCTTGAGAAGACCAGTAATGGATGAAACTGCTGCGGTTTTGATATTATGATTGCCCCTTGCTTTTCATAACAAGATATATTTTCATAATACTAGGTAGCCCATCTAAAATATGCCCAGATAAAGTGTGGGATCCTGTTTAATTCAGTGTCTCTGCAATTGGCAGCAACATATAAAGAACTGGCAGCAAATTACTTAGTATTACAAAAGCATGGTTTTATGCAAAGTTGTAAAAAAAATTAGTTATAAATTACTTTATTGCTTTTATTCAAAATAAGCATTTACTCTACCCATACTTTGTAAAGGTATTTCATAATCATTACCTATATATAATATATAAATATCAATAATACTAATAATATATATATATATATATATATATATATATATATATATATATATATATATATATATATATATATATATATAACCTTTTTTTAATGGGCAAAGAGCTTTATTTCAACCTGCTGGTTGCAGAATTAGGTGGGAGAGGGCATTTTTGTATTACTGTCTGTTCAATAAAATAGGAGAAATCTCTGATCAGTAAAGACAAAATATGAAGTTGGTCTAACGGACGAATCAGCTGTGGTAGCCCATAAAAAAATCAAGGAATCTATTTCTTATTACCCCATAAAAACATATCTAAAAAGTGCAATTTTTTTTTTGAATAATTGTAGTCACCCTTCATTTGGATTGTTAACTAAATTATCTGCCACAGGATTTAATAAATGTGCCTTCATAATAAGATAATTACATAAATAGCACTTGAAGTGGAACATGGAATATAAGTTGTTTTTTTTTATTAACCTTTTTAGTCTATTCTCTTCTTACCTGCTCAAATGGAGGGAAAATACACCTGATTAAAAAAAATATATGCTTATTTAGATTCAAAAGTTTTTGCAGTGTGTGATTTTAGTAGAGGTGCCATAATATGACCAGTCCTACAGGGACACTGGCTACTGTTGGCCTCTGTTTAGAAACACCTATAGGTTTAGTCATTGACATAGAATGTCACTGCTAAGAGATAAAATAAAATAAAAATCAAAGTCATTGCTTTTTTTATAATTCAAAACATAGTCTAAAACTCAGAATAATTAACAATTGATTTATATTTTTTTTAATCTCAGACATATAAATAAAGACTAATGAAATCTTTGGTTTTATGTTATACTGTATAACAATTTCTGTGCATATTTTTTCTATTTTTTTTTACTACTTCTCTGTTTAGGCAGTGACGTTACCAATAACTTTAAAAGATGGAAAGTGGCATCATGTTTGTGTGACTTGGTCAACACGTGATGGAGTCTGGGAGGCTTTCCAGGATGGAGTGAAGAAAGGTTCCGGGCAGAACCTGTCAGCCTGGCATTCTATAAAACCAGGAGGGACATTTATATTGGGGCAGGAACAGGTGGGGCATTCATTTAGACTGTAAAACTGTCAGGCTGTTGGACTCTTTTTAATCCATGTGTCTTCTCCCTTACTACAGGACACAATGGGAGACCGATTCGACATCACTCAGTCTTTCTTGGGGGAATTGTCAGATCTCCAGTTCTGGTCCAGAGTCTTGACAGCCAGTGAGATTCACACACAAGCAACATGTGGAGGCCACCTTGTTGGTGACGTCATGTCATGGTCTGAAGAGTTAGTGGAGCTTCATGGAGGGCTGACCGAGCTTCCTTTTGAACCTTGCAGCTAAATGGGAACATTGAACTCCTACAGGCAAAGCAGAAGGATTAGCTGATTAAATGTATGTGTCAAAAACGGATGGAGAGGGAAGAAATATAATCTTTCTGCCTTCCCCACCTACGCCCTCACTTCTATGTTCTCAGCAGGACAGCTTTAAAAGCTCCCAAGAGCGCGGAGCTTTGGATTTACTGCTTGCATGGTCACGACTGCGGCTGCTCTGATGGATTCAACACACATAATTGGATTTCTTTTCAGCAGAACAGCTCCAGAGGTTGTTGAATGCTACTGACGAGCTTGCTGCAATCAACACAAACATAAAAAGGATGAAAAGCAGAGTAAAAGAGACAGCAGAAGCATCTTCTGTTCCTCAGCAGGAGTAATTTTGTTGCTGGATGTGTTTTTTTAAAGGTCAAATCTGGCATGTTCATAGCATGACTCAATAATGTTTACTTATACACATTATATTAGTATTTCATATTGAAAAAATGCTGGCTTTTTCTAGTAAAAAAGTCTGAATTAAGGAAAATATGTAATTTGTGGTTAATATGTTATAAGAAAATATGTATTTTTCCAGCACAGAACTGAAGATGTTCTCTAAGCTAACTGCTTTCGACAGTTTTTTTCATAAACACAAGATGTACACCTAACATAATCGAAATGGGTATACCGGGCCACAACGTGTCAGCACTTTGAAGCACGCATCTCCTGATCAACTGCTGGCTTATGTCAGGATTTACCTGCGAACACCTGACATGATCCTGCCTATTTCCAACCAGCTCAAACCCCATGGCAAAGGCAGACACGCATTCGGACATGCTCAGAGGAGCTGAAACTGAGAGTTTTGCTGATTCATCACATGGTACCAGCTTATACCTTCAATTTCATGTTTATGTTTAAAGTATATTTCTTTTTTCTATTTGTAAATGTAGAAACTGTGAGATGGTTGTCTCAAATCTTTAAAATATATTATAATTGTATCTGTCACCTTGTCAACAATAAAAAAATAACAGCACTTTTAAACCTCTACTTACCTCTCTTTTTGTTCTTTTTTAAAGCATCTTTGGTAGTAATCTGTTGTAATCAGTCCAAAGTCAGGCTTTCCTGCTGCAACATGAATTTGTGTTTAAAAGTGATATTAAATGCAGCATTTAAATATTTAGCTGTAAATATCCATAAAACCTTTATTTGTTATGCCAAAGTATGAAGCACTTTGAAATTGTGTTTGTTTTGTTTTGTTTTTTTCTGTGAAGTTTAGTGGGCCAAATATGTGTTACACTTCTTTAAAATGTATCCTCTGTTTTTATCAGTTAGATTCTAAACATTTACCAGAGAAAAGATCTTTGCATACGTTTAGTGTATTTTAAAATGTAAAACAATAGCAATAACAATGCTTATTTATGCCTTTGCTGTATGTCCCAGCATTTTAATAGCTTTTGTTGTGTTTATTCCTGTTTTTGTGTTTAAATAAATCAAGTGTGATACAGTAGCATGTTCAGAGCATTCTCTTCCTTAAGTGTAAGAAAAAATAAATAAATATAGCTTTGTAAAACTTTAATGGGGCAGTTCCAAAATAATAAAATGGTGGAAAATATTTGTATGTACATATATTTTATTATATGTACAATTTTAATAGCCCATTATTAAATATTACAATAATAATAATACAAATGTATGACTCTATTAAAGGAAGTTGGTGTAGATTTTAACCAGGCAATGGCTGAGTCACATAATTTTTTTTACAATTTTTAAGTATTTTAAGGGTAAATCCATCCATCCAGGTTGTTTTCTGTAATAATTTTTTTTTTTAGCTAAAAATGTTAATAAACCCTTCGAGTGGTGTATTATGCAATAACTTCATATCCAATACCTGTCCTAGGGGTGCATGGCAAAAGTATAATTCAGTCAAATAAACTTTGGACTGAAGGTATCTTTGAGGACCAACCAGCTGTGTGTTTTTTTATCTCCTAAAACAATAAGAAAGAAAATGACTGAACAGATTCAAGTATGTTAGAAATAATTTACTGTTATTTACAAAGATGGTAGACTTTGTAAATAATTCTAAGCATCAACTTGGTATTGAAAAATTGGTGCACCATGGAATTTTTATAAATTTGACATTAATGGATTGAAAAATGTCTTGCAAATCAAGTCAAAGTTTAATTTTGTTACCACTTCTTTGTGGTTCCCCTTATCAATGTACATTTCCTGCTCCAGCAGGAAATGTATCCACTGCTACATGGGCTTGTTAATCATTTTCAGTAATCTCTGTCACTTCTCTTTCATCCATAAAGTCGTTTTTAAGTCTGCACCGCTTATGCATGTTCATGACATCACAAACAGATGGACTTAATCGAGTCACATTAAATGTCCGTATCATTAAAAGTTTTCAAGTGAAAACATCTAATCACATCTCTTTATTTGTTTTCTCCTAATTGATATTAATACAATCAATTAATTACCTTACAAAACAAACATAGACTAGTTAATATCGTTTTTATTAACAATTTGCTGAGAACAGATTGATGTAGTTGGATCACAGAATTAGAAACTGATCCATCGATTAAACGATCAATCATTACACCCCTAATTTAAATACAGTTTTCAAGGGTTTAACTGTTCGATTGGATTGTTTTAAATTTCCAATTAAAATGTTCTCTTTTTTTTTAAATTTCTATTTGTAAAAAGTGTTTGTTCTGTCCAACAATAATAGAACAAAATTCCCTATTTTCATATGTATATATTTCAAAAGCATTATGGCCATTAATATGCCTCTGGGATCACATCACAATTATTGTGGAAACCATCTCAGAATGCCTACTGGTTGTCTCCCGACCCCTACTTTGATAACCCCTGATCTAAACTATTTCACAATCATAAAGATGCATAAATGAAGCATCTATCAGTTCTGGAGAGAAATTACATAAGTATCTAATTAGATGTTTACAAACAGTTACAGTGTCCTGACATAATGTACTGGATTTTAAACAGCAAGTCCATGCGATCAACATCTGTTCTTCTATTCATTTCCTTTGCTTGGTCTCACATATCCCCAACTGTCAATGCAAAATGCATGGTTTTCACCATGGAGAGGTCACCAGCTCATTACAGGGAAACACACAGATAGATAGGTAAAGCACCTGTGCAGACATACTCTAACCTAAATGCAAATTAAGAAACCCCAATACTAGAATAAGAAAAAGGATAAAATGTTGATGAATTTAACGCTAGTTGTATGCATCTTTTACCAAATGTCTGTTGCTTGTTTGAAGGCTGTTATGGTTCAAATGGAGGAAAAAATAACTTTATGGCATCACTCTGCAGTGTCCCTCTTTATTTCAATAAATTAAATGAATGTTTAACTAAATATTTCATTGCTAAAACATTGTTTTTTTATAAAATCTTTTTATAAAATCTTTTAGAGTTTTTATCATAACAACAAGAGGTAGAATATTCTCCCATTATCTTATTGGAATTTACTGAAAGAAGGCGTACATTGTGGTGTCTGCCCTGTTAAACTTATTTGGCTATCACACTACTTTGCATGAGCTTAGAGAACCAGTAGTTTGGTGTATGAAACACAGCTTCAGACCTGTGGGCCTCTCTTTTGTGTCCTATTGTAGTAAGGACACAGACGTTTCCAAGCTTTAGAACCATAGTTTAGGAAAGAAACATAGCATTGAGTGAAGCTTTATGTTTAATTTTCAGGCATCGCAATGGGTGTAAACAATGGACTAACGTTGCAGGAAGGACCTACCACCAAAGCTTCGACAGAACAATGTAATTATTATTTTTTTATTGTGTAATTGCACAGTAATATGGATGTATTACCTCTTTATTTATCTATTTTTTCATGAATATTAGAGGCTTTTCACCTTTAGAAAAGATCAAGTGATTAAAGTGGATTGTTCACCTGCTTGTAGTTTATTTTCATTTTATGTCAAGTGTTTTTTAAAACATTACTGTAAAGTCATTGTGGGGTTTGGCTAATGATCTGCTTGTTATGCTTCTCCTACTTTGTGTTTAAGTAGCGATAAAGGCTTTAATAGATGTAGTTCCAGTAAATTGAAATGAAGCTAATGAGTGAAATGCCATGCCAATTATTTCAGCTTCTTATCAATGTTTTAAATGGTTTCGTTTTTAAAGCTGAAGTAAGTTAACATTTCTAAGAGACAAAATGTCCCAGATTGTTACAGAAACCTGTAAACCTAGCTATACATGGCTCCCGTTCAACCTCAATATTTATCATGTTTTGATAGTATTAAAGGTAATAGGGTTAAAAAATTACACATTATTTTGTTCTATGGTAGGTTAGGATGACCGTTAAAAATTGGTAATGTTGACATGACAGCCTGCATTGAATAATAACTTACTTTTTGGTGGCTTTGTATCTTATTTTCCCTAGGTGACCACAAACCGTTGGCTCATTACTTGTCCCTGCTCTGCTTCATGCTCACCATTGTGACTCTGCTTCAGACTCTCTGCTGTGAGTGTGTGATCTTACATTTAAAATGTAACTCAACTGAACCCAACTACCTTTCTCATACCTCACCTAAATAGTCAGCTATTCTGAGCTATTTGCTTTATTTATGCTGCTATATCTTAAGGCTGCTGGAGGACAGAGGAACCACATTTCCTCATTCTTCTTCATTCTATCTTTATTCTCCCATTCTGCAATGTGTGTTAAGTTCCACTCATAACTTTATGTTCTCTCTGCTTTTAAGTATGTTCCGGTCAAGATGTTGGAGCTTGGCCTATTTTTCAGTATAGTCCTGTTCTTTTTAATGTGACTAACTGTATGTGCTCACTTTCATCCTCTGACATGAAAAGTGGCTCAGAGCTTGTGTTTTACTAGACCACCTTTGGAACTAGTTAAAAGTTACCTTTTGTATGTTTGCATCTTTTTGAAGGTTGCTCACCCTGGTTCTTCTGAAGGTTTAGTTTTTCCTGTTAGAAGGGAGTTTTTCCTCTCCACTGTCCCTTCTTGCACACTCAGTGTGAGGGATTGTTCTAGAGTCAATGAAGAAATGCAAGCTCATCCAGGAGAAGAATGTCTTGCATGTAATGGATTAGATGCAATCAGCTCGTTTTCCCTGACCAAAACTTTTAACCAATCTGATTGGATTCAATCTGTAAAGTGCCTTGAGGTGACATGTGTTATGAATTGGCACTATATAGGTAAATTGCTTTAATTGAACTGAATTAAACTAAGCTACTTTGTTTTCAAAGAAAAAAAGGAAAACAAAATATTAAACATAATCGATAGAAATATGCTATGATAATTAATTTTAAACTAATTTAGAGTAATTGAAATATTTTGAACCACATTGTAAATCCAAGGAGGTAGATCAAATTTTAGTAAAATAGCATTTTATCAAAGGGTTTGCCAATCTCAGAAACCAGGAGGCAGGATCGCATGTCCCTATGGGAGTGTCTTGTCGGAAAGGATGATGCAGAAGGTGGATATGGATGCCAAAAAATTCACTCTTAGAAGAAAAGCACTAACTTAACATATAACTATTTTAACGTAAGTAAAAGTAGCCATACCAGCACAAAAGCATACCCTTTTTTTTTATCTCACAAATTATTTCACTCTCACTGTAGAATTTTTAAATATGTTGATCAGGTCGGTGACGAAGTCTCACAAGAACCTAAACAAATGCCCATTATACATAAAAATTACTTTTGGGAGGAACTGATAAAAGAGAGGATCAGTTCCCCTTTTAAATATTAGTGAATTACTTCAGCAGGGAGGGCACTTTTCTTAGGCATGGCAAAAGGGCAGGTGCTTCAGCATCACTAGGAGCCTAATTGTTCACTTACTTGATTAACAGAAAGAGAAACCTAAAAACCTCAGCCTTTGTGTCATTTTTCTTTATTACATGCAGACTATGCTACTGAAATAAGCAAACTTTATAATGTTTTCATTTATTGAGAATGACTGTTCCTGGATGTTTTAATCAGGTCTGTGCTTATGGTTTTTGGTGTTTGTATGATCCCACAGTGGTGCAGATCACCTTCACATCTCAGTCTCGCTCAATTGCGCAAGAAAAGAAATTGCAAGATCTGACAAACAGACTGAGGAAGCTCAATCAGTCCCATCACCTCCTCTTTACCCAGTATCCTGCTCTGAGTCAATACTGTCCAACAATCAACTCTTCCACTGGTGGTGAGTTAAAATTTTAAAGATCTTTGCTGTGAGTAACTGTTGTTGGATAAAAAAGTGATTTTGTTTCAGAATCTAAAGGGTAAAATATGTTTTGATTTAGTTTTTCACTTTTACGCGCTTACTTACTGTTTGGTATATTATTTTCGTCTTGCCATATTCTGTTATTATGGGATTTGCAATAAAGGTTAGTTAATCTGACTCTGCCAGCTTCTATCTAATTTTTTTCTTAGTATTTTTTTGTTTCTGGTTTGTTATGCCATTGCTTTTTCAGAAGGCTACAACTACAGGTCTAAATGTACAGCTTGATTGACCAGTGGAGTTTATTACGCTTATATTTCCCCCATTTGCCCATGCTTTAATAATTTCTCCTTCAGCCAGTCTATAGACGATTGGTGGATTCTGTTCACCCGTGTCTCCTTATGTTGCCTATTGTTTGCACCTGTTTTCGTCATTATGTAAAGGTGCACAATGGGGAACTGTGTCTGAGGCAAAAGTGGTGGATTTACAAAGTATTCCTATACAAACCGTGCACGCAAGAACAATGAAGCGGCCAACAGTTAACTCCACATGGTTACACTCCTCCCTCACAGCGGGAATAGAAGCTCTACTCCAAGTCTCTCCTGGATGGTTGAGCTTCTCATTCTGTCTCTAAGGGAGAAACCTCATATCGGACACTTGTATTTGGGATCTTGTTATTATGGTCATGATCCAGATTTCATGACGACTGGTGAGGATAGGACATTAGAAAAATGGTAAATCGAGAGCTTT